GATCAGAATGTTGATGCTTAAAAGATCACCGCTTGTTGGTATGTCTGCCTAGAATTGGTGTAGTATTTATGCACTTTGTAAAAAGTGTTTCTTACACACATACACAAGTGTGAGTGTGTGACTATATTTTATTCAATTTTACTATATTGTTAACATTGTTTTATCACAGATTTAACATGTTTATGGCATTTTGCTACCAAACTTTTTCCGGTTTAAGTATTGAATTTGGCATATGGAATAAAACACATTTTTTTCTTCTTAAATCAAAAAATATGTAGAAAGTTTACCATTCATTTGATTTGTAACCAGAATTGTTGTAAGGTGATTTATGTAACTTTTTCCTTTTTTCATCAAAAATAAAATGCAAACATGAGTTCAGGATTAGTGTCAATTGGTAAAAATATGAGGAGTAATTCTGAGAATGACTTGGCATCTTGACTTCAGTCACTTCCAACTGCCATGACGTAGCTTTCTATCTGTCTATTCTGTTAATATTTTTATGGCAATTATTCTAATGAGCTTTCCTCCTTACTACCTTGACCATATGAATATAAGCGTATTACTAGATTGGCAACTAGGTCTCATCATTTTACTCTTCAAATAGCTAGGTACAACTAAGTCCTATTCTAATAGTTTCTTTTCTTGCACTTCTTACCTGTGGAACTCTCCTCCATTTTCTTGCTTCTCTGCCACCTATGATCTTCAACAATTTAAATGCAACATCAATCATTGTCATCTATCTACCTGAATTCTGTTCTTTTCCTGTCCTTTCACCCACTTAAGCCTTTTCATTCATCTTTACTCTCTGTAACCCCTTGCATCTTAGTTGCGTTATTGCCTTAGTGAAATGATTAAAAAAAGATTCCCATTTGCTGAGAAATGACTCACTGGTTTAGAATCTCCCAGACACTATCTAATATTACAGTGAAGTAGTGGGTGGCAGCTTGGATTGAGGAATCGGAGAGCTGAGTTCAAATTCCAGCTGAATCCATTACATTCACTTACATGCTAATACACTTGGGAAAGGTATCAATCCACTTCTTCTCCCCCCAGCTATAGGTAAATAGCAGGACAGATTGGGTTCTATAACCTTGGATGGCAACTGACCTACTGCAGAAAAAAATGGCAACCTACTGCGGGGAAAAAATCTGCATTGTCAGTCATGTATCAAAAGATACATGATCGCCTAAGTGTGTATTACACATGGCATGTAACTGACTGAATAAGCGACTGAAGGTAAAGCTATATCAAAAATAAAATGCTTTTGAGAAATAGTTGGCAACAAAGACTTGAAACAAAATAAAAGTATTCAGATGGGACTTTCCTGAAAAAACTTCCGTATTTACTTTAAACATATTCTCTTACCAGTATTTGTGGATATCAACTCCCGATAAAAAGAAACTTAATACAAACAGAAACATGGACACATGAATGGGAATATAAGTCTGTAGCCTGAATTTTGACCTGAAATTTTCAGTATATATATTTGATGTATATAATTAATATTTACTCTTGACAAATGTAGTAATGAAATTAGTAACCCCTTGCTTTGTTGAATTGATGTGTTCTCTGCTGAAAATAATTTAAAAAAAAAAAGAAGCCATATTTCATACACTTTTATAGAGAACTTTTTATTAGATTATTATTGTACATTTCAGGTGTGTACATAAACTTTTCTTTTTTAATGACAACATGTGAATGGTAACTGCTGCTCAAGTGAATTGATGCATATTGGATATACAACTTGCATGAATCCTTCGTTTACAACATAGAAATTGTACAGTATTTACATTAGTGGGACTATTGTCCTCATCACTGTGCCATATTTGTCACAACGTCGTTTTGAGGCCTTCTTCAGGTGGTTGGAATTTGAACTGAACCCTTTATTTCGATCACTGGGGTAGATTCTAATTCCACGTGCCATGTTTGATGGCATCAGTTATCTCCTGCTAATTTTCCCTTTTGCCTTAACCAGGAATTGAACTCACCTTCTTTGTCTGTCACTGGATCTCAACGCCTTTATCCACTGTGCCAATTTGGGTATGTTATTATTATAAACCTAATGTTTTCAGCATCATTTTACCAGTGCTCATATTGCATTTTTTGCTGTTATCATTGCATGTCTTTACCAGAGTTCATATTGCAACTTTGTTATCATTGCTTTTCTCTGGCACTCCTTATTACTGGTTCCCATATTGTATTTATTTCTATGCTTGGTCGGCTCAGGAGATTTTTGTGGCCTAGCATATGTGCCCAGACGCTCGAGGATCTCTTCAACAGAATTACCAATGAAGAAGACCAGAGAAGGATCCAAAATGACCTGGATAAATCTTTCAGACATGAATTTGATGTAGTCAAGGCTCGCCAAGTGCAAAAATTAAATAGATTGAAAGGTCAGAAGGTGACGCACAAGGTCCATCACCCACCAGTGAAAGCAGTAGTCAACATCAGCCAATATCAGCTGAGTGCCTCTGAGGAGTCAGTATTGAATAAGGGTCTCAACTTCGCCACAACCATCAGGCGGGTGCCATACTTGGACATCATTGCCAGAGTAGAGGAGGTGGCCTTGAACATCCCTCAGGCTCAGGCGGATGAAATGAGATGGAAAGTGAGACAGGCCTTGGAGAGAGCCAAGCTGCTAACATAACAAAACTGGAGAGACTGGCGATTGAATCACTACAGAGGAATGAGAACATCATCATACTACCGGCTGACAAAGGTAATGCGACTGTAGTGATGGACAAATCGGACTATACAAGAAAACTGGAAGACCTCATTAGCAATGGTAGCTACAGCATAGTGAAGAAAGATCCTACTATGAAAACGGAACGCAAACTGTCACAGATCCTAATCAAGAACAAGGATCACTTCGCACCCAAGACGTATAGGCAGTTATCGCAGCGTTACAGCAAGTTACCTCACATATACGGTCTCCCT